AAAAACTCTTTCGTATCTAGACATAAAATATGGACCGCAAAATACTAAAGGACTAATCCAAAAAAATAGAAAGCACAAAGCTCCTCTCCCCTCTCAAATTCAGCTTCTGCCTTTCAGTGGTCTCACTTGGAAAATCTTTCTCTTTTGCTAACACAGCGACRAATCTTTCAGGAGAGCAGAGCTCCCTCAAGGGCTGCTGTTGCTGAGACCCACCCAGAGCTCCTGCACCCTCGGAAAGCAAGAGCTGAATGAGCCCCTGAGCTCCTGAGCCTCGTTTCTGCAGCCCTGAGCCCACCTGCTGCCCTTGCGAGTGCTGGGCCCATCCCTGCTGTGATCAATACAGCTGGGCAAAATTAAGGGGAAATAGAAACAGGTGGAAAACCAGGCATTAGAGGGAGAAGCAAGCAAGAGTTGTTAGGCAAGAAAAGAGGTATTGGATGAGTSAGAAATGGAGCTATAAGAAAAAGAATTCTAGGGGGGAGGGCATGAGAATTAGTGGGGAGACACAAAGGAAATGCTGGAATATAAGAGGAAGAACCTATAATGTATAAAAAAAGAAATTATCAGCATAAAGGGGACATAGAGGCTTTATCCACCCTCTCACAGCCTCCATACACACAGTGCTGGGAGCCCCACTGTGTCATCGTGCGGCCCCACGGCGTCTCCGTGTCCACGTGGTCATGGGGGCACCGGGGGCCTCTCTGGGGCCATCAGGGTCTCCGTGGAGACGAGGCCGGGGGGCCCTACAGGTTGATATGAGCCTCACAGGGCCTCCTTGTGCAAAGGACTGAGGGGACATCAAAGGCCTCTGTGGGCTGTCCAGTGGCCACTGGCCCCGGGGGCCCTGCCCAGGGGAGGCCACACGACATCCCACAGGGCCCGGGGGGCAGCTGCGCTCGGAGACCCGGGAGGCCCTGGCTCCCTACGTGTTTTCGTGCGGCCTCCACGAGAGGCCAGGGGGCCATTGCTCTCGAGCCCTCATTTGCATGGTGCCCTCGGATTGGTCGGACGTGAGGGCAGAGGTGGGGTGAAGAAGCAGTGCGTTTATTGGTGCGGTTGCCGTGCGCAAGCCCCACCCCCACCCGCGCAAGCCCCGCCCCCCGCGATGTGCATGCAACATGGTGCCCCCCTCCACCCTACAACATGGCGCCGCCCATGGGGGCAGCCGGTCCGCTTACAGTTGCCGCCCCCACAGGCAACGTGACCCCACGCAATGCGCTCCRCCCACTGCAGCCAACCCCACAGAAGCTCCGCCCTCCCAGCGAGGCTCCGCCCTGCAGCCATACGAGGCCACRCCCCCCGGTCAAGGTGGGGGACGGCGGTGACAGCGGTGACAGGGACAGAGCAGACGCCTCATGGCGCGGGACAGGCTGGTGCTGAAGGCCGCGTAGACCCAGGGGTTGGTGCAGCTGTTGAGGCTGGCGAGGAGCATGAGGATGGTGAAGGCCGGGCCTGGTGGGGACAACGGGGCGCGCCATGGGTGCACCAGAAGCATGTCCCCATGACACCCCCATTATGTCCCCATGTCCCCCATGCTCCATGGGTGCACCATGACCATGTCCTCAAGGTGTCCCCAAGGTATCCCCATGTCCCTCATCCTCCACAGGTGCCCCGGGGTCCGACTTAGTCCACAGTTGGCCACAGAAGAAGGACGTCCACCCACCCATGTAGGTGGCCAGCACCACCAGGGCCACGTCCCCACGGTGTCCCCATGGTGTCCCCATGTCCCTCACCCTCCACAGGCGCCTCGGGGTCCCAGACAGCCCACAGCTGGGCGCAGAAGAAGGGCGCCCACCCCCCGACATAGGCGGCCAGCACCACCAGGGCCATGCGGCGGCTCTTGGCGCGCGCCGGGCGCAGGGCGGGCGCCCCGGGGCGCAGGGCCCTGGACAGTGTGGCCAGCAGCGCCGCTAGCAGCGCCGCGGGCGCTGCCACCAGGGCCACGGCGGCCCAGGTGACGTAGGCCCGGGCGCCCCAGGGCGCTGCGAAGGCCGCCCGGCAGTCGAGGGTGCCTCCGGCGTCCACGGGGCGCTGGGCGAAGATGGCGGCCTGGGGCAGCGCCAGCAGCAGCGCCAGCGCCCAGGCGGCGCCCAGGGGGCCGCAGCGAGGGCGGCGGGGACA